GAACGCCATATGCAGTTCCCCAGAACTGTATAACCTAATGAAGCATATTGGGGCCTGAGAGCCTACCCAAGAAAGATTCTCGGGGCTATAGAGCCTATCCAAGGGTCGCCTTAGGTCCATTAGGAATTACCAGTCAGTGCTGAACCTATACAAGGAATTACCAGAAAAGAATGAACCTGCCAGAGATAAGGAATTAACATTCGGTGTTGAACCTATACAAGGAATTACCAGCAGCGACTGAACCTGCAAGAGTTTTCAGTCATACCAGAGTCCCAGAGTACCCCATATAAAATTAATTTCAGTCAGTCAATAGAGATATCAGAAATCAGAGCAGAGATCATAACAACAATAAGAGAAAACATCTATGTGGTCAGGGAACACACTAGAGGTTCCAGATATTATTCGGAGGTACATGATAATCATATCGGGCAGGGAAACATGAATCCTCAGTATACCGATAGAATGTCGGAAGTTAGAATCACTATCGAAAGAGTTCATTAACTGACGGGATCATTAGGTATTCAGAACATGATTTGTCCAGATCATATAGTATTTAGATATTTTTCGGAAGCACTATGAAATCAGAAAGGTATTTAGAATCCTTTGCATCTGTGTTACTTGTGTTATCAGATATGATAAGAGTGCTTCCATTATTCAGGAAATCAGAGGCATTTTGGGCATTAAGTTCTTGGAGAATTCTTAGTGATTTGAGCAGATAAGGGAGAAATGAAGATTAAGGGCATTTATGATTTGTATTGATCTATCGGAATATCGATTTAACCCGAACTGTACAAGTCCCATCAATGATACCTGTCAACCGGTCAAATTGTTGCATTTCCATAGTATTCACTTTTTAATACAGTCAATTCTTGTTGAATTGATCATCTTCAGAATCATTACGGAATGGATCTTAGGGACGGTACATCATGCAAGTTCATCAGTGTTTCTAGGCTTATCCAAGTCACTCACTTAACCCTAGGTAGTCAAGTCTATCCGGTCACTTTGGAGTTTCCAGAGTAATTCAATCATTTTCGAAATTCGAATATATATCGTACTTCTATTCAGTTTAACTTGGTCATATAATATAGTTATTTTGGTATTTGAGGTTGATTTGTTCATTTCAGATACGAGGGTATTAGTTATTCCAGGGCTTGGACGTGCTTCGAATCATATTACACTTCAGAGGCATTCCAAATAAATCAATAGTTTAATCGATGATTCCAAGATTCCAATGGATCATGATATAAGTTCTCATGACGTCTTCATTATCATAGTCGTCCATATTTCTTTTTACCCTTTAAGGATATCATCGTCATTTCATTCAATTCAGTCAATGTCATGACTTCAAATAACTTAGGCTTAAAATTATTCTAGTTCCATTAGAGTTCAGAGTACTTTATTCTTTTGATCACTGGAGGTTATTTTCACTACTAGGGGATGTCTTGGTCATTTTTCAATATAAGGGTATTTTCATAATTTTACCCCATAATGCTATTTTTGGTAATTTCTTATCCAAATATTTCTAACAGTTAACCTTTAATGAGATTAATCAGAATTTACGTGTTCTGAGATTGATTGATTTACTGATTGAATCTTTAAACTGAGATTTATTTCTTATCGGTTTGCCAATTTATTTTACGAGCTGTCTAAGCCTTATACAGTGTTCCGTCTTTATTCCATTTTTTGTCTGATTCCAAAGATAGTTAACTATACCTAATGGACTAATCATTTCTATTCATGCATTTACAATTTATTAGTGGGTTTCAAAAAGCATACAAAAGGTAATACTATTACCTCGATTTTCATGCCATATCATTCCACTATTTAAACTATATTCGATCGACCTCGAACTTTAATTCAATGTCCAATAATTCCTCATATACATAGCAAATAATTTTACGTCAGAAATTGAACTTAATTGAAAAACCATATTGAATCCGAAGGTAAATCATTGTAAAACGACTTATCGGGTGTGAATTTGGGGAAAAGGACTTTAGATTCGGACTCATGACATTGAAATACATAAAATATGGCTTTTCATAAAATTTGACTTTTTCAGTCAAAGTCACTGGTCAACAGTCACATCGGTAAAAGTCAACGATCTGACCGATCAATGGTCAACTCTGGCCAAAGTCAATAGGTCGGTTGACTCTGTCTGAGTTGACTCAACTGACTCAGTCAACTCGATCGAGTTGACTCAACTTTCCAGAATTTTTGGCTGGAAAGGAATCCCCACGCGCGTACGGCGGTGCGTGGTGGCACATGACACCGGCGACGACCTCGGGGTGGTCGGCCGATTACCCCTTGTTCAGGCACTTGTCAAAATCAGTCCAGACAACATCATCCTTCAGCTAAAATCCAACGGAATTAAAAAAGAGAGGACCGAAACGCTTACCCACACCAGCGATCGACGAAATCAACGACGTTGACCCGTCCCATCGGTCGAGTTTTGAGCGGACGGAGGTGGGGAATGCATTGATGGCAGTCGTGAGCCAAACCTATGTCTAAACTGGCCGGGATCGGGGGTAAACTAGTGATGACGCTAGGGATTTGGTGAACCGAGGCAAGCTCCTACACGGTGAACGGCGACATCTAACATCGAATGGCCTTAGGGGTTTTGGTCGGACGACCATGGTGCTTCAAGTGGAGATGGCGGTGACACTCACCGGCGACCAGAGCAAGGCGGATCAAAGGAGGGAAACGACGAAGATTTTTGGCATTTTCTTCTAATTCACGATGGACGATGGCCGATTTGATCGATCTCAGGGTTGGGTTGAGGTCGCCGGTCGATGGCGAGCTCGGAGGGCATGACGACGCGCTCCAAAGGCGTCCGAGCGACATTGGTTCGACGGAGTGACAGATGCTAGGTTAGGGAAATATTTTGGGAATTTTGGTTCTTACCAATCGGAGGAAAAAGTTTAATTGAAATTATTTTTCACCATTAAAAAATGGATAAATTCAGGTTTAGGTTCCTGAATTTCCTGCACTTTTTAAATATGTCTATAAGTTTCAAAAACTCATAATTTGACCCCTAATTTGGGTGTTACATGTAGCACTTTGAAGTGTTGTTTCTTTCCAACTTTGATTTTGAAATTAGCTACTTCAATCAGCATTCTTAAGTAGGATATCATCAACAAATAATTCAAAATTTGAAACTTCAATTAACAATAAAAGTGTTCACACAATTAATATCAGGTCATCCGATGAGTGAATAAAGAAAAAGATTCTAAGAAAATATAAATAAATATTAAAGAAAAATTGAATTTAGATAAAATTCATGAGAAAATAATGTGAAAGGAAAAATGTGTAATGTTGTCCTTAATTGAAATGTTAAAAATAAACAAGGCCCTTAAGAAAAGGATATATATTACTTAAGGATAAAAACATAAGGTTGATTATGTGCATTGTGTCACGGACTAAACTTTTGGGTCCATGGATATTGGCGCAAAGGTTCACAGAAGGGGTTCTATTGCGCATACTTTGGGCTTGTTGGGCATGGCGAGTTGGCCTTGTTCTTGGAGAATGCTTACGAGTCCGTAAAGGCTCGAGTTCGTGAAGGATCAAGTCCGAGGCGTCCGAGAGAAGCGACGAGGGTGTTACATGTTCGATGGGGGCAATTTTGTCGAGGCTCGTGGATTCGGTCCGAGACATATGTGCGCAGATTTCTGTAGAAGAATAATACAGAGTGTTGGGCTTGCCCATAACCATCAGACCTGGCCCGTTCCTTGGAAGATTCTAGAAAGGATATTATTATCCAATAATTATGGATTTAATTATGGATAATGTTTTATTTGAATTCAAATACCTTAGAGATAGAGTTCTAGTTAAGGTAGGATTCAATGTAAGCCGTCAATGAACTTTGATCTAGACCATTGGATCTTGAGGGCCTCAACTATAAATAGAGAGCTCCTCCCCTCATTTGTAATCAATTCACTTCATTCATTCTCTTCAGAGTAATAAAACTCAGGCATTTACTCTTACTCTCTCTGAGTTCATTCTTTCTAGCTTTCTAGCTTGCTAGCTTTCTAGCCTTGTCGGCTTGTTCTCCTTTGTGCTTAAGCCTTTGTGGCTTGTGTTACCGATCGTGAGGGCTGAGATAGCCTCGAGAGTGTTATTTTCCGAGTTCTTTCAAAGTGCCAAAGTTAATCAAGTCTTGGTGACGTAGGAAGTTCCCACAGTGCTCGTGCTTCAGAGATCCGCTTCAACCCAAGTGGCTTGGATTAGCCCCGATTAAGTGTCGTTTCCGCATTGTTGTTTAACCCTTGAGGGTTTGTTCGTCGCTTAGTGAGCCAGAGACTCATAGTACGTGGATAAGGCTGACTTAGGCGCCATTTCGACCTGGAAATCATCTAAGTGCCGCACGAATCGACTAAAAGAAGTCTAACCCCGTGACATTGCTAAGAAAATCAACCTAACAACTACGGGAGCTTTCTACAGTGGTTCAAGTACTCAACCTTGAAGGGGAAGGTTAAGAGAGTAATTCACGCCTCTGTGCCCCATCATCTACGAGCTTTCCTATGGGTTGGTAGCGGTAATTGACAATGTTAGGCCCTTCTTCAGCATTAAAAGTTTAAAACTCAACATTTATCAATAATATTATAAGGGTTTATCTTGTCTTTTTAAATAAATAAAAAAACTAAAAACTATTACTTGCCAAAATTGAACACATGATTAGCACGAAATTGCATAAATTCTTCACCACTCCACAAAAAATTGTCCATTGAATATTTTTTTTATAAATATATTTTTAAATATGAAATATATTCTTTCACTCACATGATGAATGTCTCAGCATAATTATTGATAAAAAAAATTAAAATTTAATTGAAAGTCAAGGTTTAGAAAATTAACCAAAAATTATTCCTGAAATTTTAATCAGAATAGAGAAAATCATGCATGTTTATCATTTGTATGGTCAAAACATATCTAAAAATATCTCATAAACAAATGGCTATGCAAATAATAAAAGAGTATAAGAAAGAGAAAAAGGCTTCAAAATAATGGAATTATTCTAATTATTTTCTTTTCCTCATTTTAATCAAATTACAGCCTCGGAAATCGGTAGTTAATTACAATTACAAACTCTCTCTAAACGAGAAAAGTACATAATCAATTAACTAATAGTCATTCCACCCTTTAATCAGATACGTAGGGTGGCATTCGAATATCTCATATATGCATGTCTAAGCACATTTTTTAAATTATGGTGCTCCTCCTCCGTGTGAATATTTTTTTCCAATCCACCAAACGCCTCAAAAACTCCTCCACCTGTGCAATTTTAATAAGGAAAAAAATGCATGTTAGTCCAAGATAGTATTAAAAAAAATCAAAATTAATAGTGGAAATTGCATGCTAAGATTAGAAATCCTGCCTCGGATGGTTCTTGGAGAGAATATGAAGCATTTGTTTCTTTAGGTACTTTGGAAACAAGAATCCCAAACCCTTGTCCTCTATCACGTAAAACCTAGTCAGAAAAAGAAACGTTTTAAATTTGAATTATATTTTAATAATGATTTATTTACGTAGAATTTATTGAACGATTTAATAGTAAAAGAGAATATTGTTATTTCTAAAAGATCAATATTTAAGCAATTACGTATGCGGGTGTATGTATTGCTAATAGCTAAAAAAATTGAACAAATAATACCTATAATCACCTCATATTATTAAAAAACCAATAACTTTTTTATTTGAAACTCATTCGCATAACAAGCGTTTTTGCTCTATGATAGTATTAATTACAATTAGATACCTTAAACGCATCTTCGTCAGTTCGATCATCGCCAATATAGATTGGTAAAACATCATTGGAATTTGCATACCCTGAACATGATATAAAATTAAAATTAGTACTATTAAGAGATTTTTTTTTACCATCTGTAATTTTTTAAATATATAAAATAATTTAAATTGTAAAATAAATAAGAAGGGAGAAATTAAGTTACAAGCACCTAGTGCCTCCAATAAGAATTGAAGGGCTCTCCCTTTGTCCCATTCGATGGTCGGACGAATCTCCAATACCTATTATTGATTTAATATGAAAGGAAAAACAAAAATGATGTAACTTTGTTTACCTTGTTGAAGAAAAGTTTTGGTATCCATGAAAAGGGGTGAAAAGGGACGAGAAAAGGAAATAGAAAGAGGAATTGAATTATATAGAAAAGGATGTACCTTCCTCCCTTGAGTTAGTTTAAGCTTAGGGTATTGGCTGAGTACTGATCTAACTTGCTCAGCTAAGGCAGCCCAACTCTGCCAATGAAGCACAGGCAAAATCAGTTCCACAGATTTTCAGCATTATAGAAAGAAAAAGACAAGACCGGCTTCGGTTTCGTACCTTTTCATCGACACATCGAAAGTGTACAGACACACAAAACTTGTTATTTTCCACCTTGGCTCCCCCTATCGATTTTGTCTTCTCTACCAACGCTTTATATACCTGAAAGTTACAATTTTTTTTCAAAAAAAAAATTATATCCATTGTTTATTTGTCTTCTACTCTTTTAAATTCAATTGATTCATACAAACCTCGTCTATCATGGGCAAGAATTCACTGGCCGGTTGGAAAAGAACACCACGATTACCCTGAAGAACCCGACAAAGGACGAAAAGGAAAATATTACAAAAGAGTACAACAGACGAAATTACAAAAAGTAGACTGATGGAATACATTGAATAGCTTCTATGGTTAAAAAATAGTTATTCTCTTTAATGACTCAAGTTTAAATTATCAAGTGATTAAAAAAATCAGAATAGATATTATCTTATAAATATTTCGTACTGTTCAAAAGGTAAGTGGGTGTTTGTTACTTACGTTCTTGTATTTGCAACTTTTAGATGGTCCCTTGATGTCCATTCCATGGCTACCGGCATAATAAAGGCCAGATAATTTTACGAAGCTGTAAACCTGTTGAAAACTCACCATGAAAATCAAGCCAAGCATTCTACATAACAACAGTCGTACGTTTTCCTCGTCGAGAAAAATAAAATGTACCTTGTCCCGGCACCTTCCCGTCACGATTGCTGTTGGAAAATATCTAGCAACATCTCTTACAGCTGCTCTCATCTGATTAGAGAAATGAATTTAGTTGTAGTATTTTGAGTATAACTCGGAGTCAAGAGACAGCTTATGAACGGGAATGGTTTACCTCTCTGGACATGAAAGCTCGATCCGGGTCTTCGACGATAGGGGAAAGAGTGCCGTCGTAGTCGAGAAACATCACTATCTGTTTCCCTATCGAAGCAGCCATTATTTGGTCGAACATGCTCAAAGCCGATGGATGATGAACCTGTTTCAGGAACATGTAATCAAAAGGGTCACCAATGCTAATCTAAAACGACATAACATTAACAAGCGAAAGTGGAGAAGTAAGAAATAGGAACCCACAATCCAGGAACTATTGTCGTCGGTTGAATAAGTGGACCTGATACGGGTCGGTGAAGAAGATCTCATTGAATCCACCCAGGCATTCATTTTAGTTCCTACTTTCTCGCCTTCCAATCTCTTTTTCAATAGCATCTTAAGGTCTGTAGGAGAAAATGACTTGCTCACCGGCAGAGACGACGGAGGCAATAAGCTCCTTAAACCACGCGATTTCATGTCAAGAACCGCTACATTTTGTTGGTTAGTCATTCTTTTTTATCTCTTCTTCCTGCTTATCCTCTGTATAAAAACCCAAAACCAAAACTTTAAACACAGATAACCAGAAAGACCTTAAAAGAGAATCAGATTTTCAATGCCAGGCCTCGATACCTGAACAGAAAAGTGAAGAAAACAGAGATGATGATAATGTAAGATCTTAAGCGGACACAAGAACAACAAAGTGTTTAGAGTTGGAGAAGCAAAACTTAAAACAAAACTCGAACAAGGCACACAAAAACTGGGCTTTTCAAATCAATTTATAAACTTGGTTTCACGGCACTAAGGACCAAACAGCCAGAACTTTCCAGGCCACTTGTACTTTTCACACCTTCCTCTCTCCCTTTTTTTTCCTTCTTTGAATCGAGGGACCACTTTAAGATTCCATAGAATAATAATTCTCAAGCTTTATTGTAATTTGTTTTTCTTTTTAATTAACATTAACTTCTTGTGCTGGCAAAATGATATAAATTACACTTCGAACTCGTAATTGTTAAAGGTTTGGAATAAACTAAACAAATCAGCCATTTTAGCTCATTGGTGAAGGACCACTTGGGGAAGAGTCCCAGGTTGTTATTATAAAGTTTGATGTATAGTATTTGGGGTTTAACACAACAATGGTGGGATTGGAGAGCAACATATATCTTTGTCAAAGTTATTACTTTTAGGACAAGTTTTTAATTATTTTGGCTGAATTTTATTGCAAGTATTTACTACAATGTGTGAATTCAACAAGACCGTCAAATTTGAATTCGAGTGTCATTATTATTTAAAGATCTTCGTGTAAATATCATTCTAACCTGAATAATTTTATAGTACTATTCACGGTCTATCAAATGAAAATAGCATAGTAAAAATTGGGTAGTAAGTCCGCATGTGCATATGATTAGACCATTTGACATAAAAAGTTAAGTAAAATGACAGGAAGTAAAGTTCAGAGCTTGTCAAGTCAATCCTAATGAAAGGGTAATAATTAGATGGCAATAAAAACTCCAAAATGATTACCTATAAAGAATTAATACAACTAGCGAGGTGAAGCACTCTTTGTTTGTTGTTATTTCTTAAAATGGAAAATTTGTTTATATCATTAAATCTTCCGTTGCTCAAATTATAGTACTAAAATTTGGTTTTGACTCCAATTATATCACTTGATCTTTAAATTTTAACAACACAATGATCAGATAAATCTTTCTATCACTATGATTACATGGAAAAAATGATGTTGTTTTATTTCAGTTATTGATGACTAAATTGATGTCGTTGTAGACACTGAATTTTAGGAGTGTTTTGATTTTGCTACTGAACTTTTAAATAGTTCACTTTTTGACATTAAACATTTTCGACTTCCGCTGGTAGCTAATCGCTACCCGTCACTAGTCACCATCTGTGACAAGATCGATATCAAAATTTTCACGTTTCACTCATTTTTCATCTCATATGATTATTTTTGACAAAATCTACTCAAAATCAATGAAAATCCATCTGAAGGTTTGACGTGCTAATACACTGATATCCTCTTATGATTGTCTGATGATGGTAGTTTTAAGGTATATTGTTCGTCTTCTCGAAATAATGCTTCTAACTATCTATATTTTTGAACCAACACCTCAAACCTCTTAAATTTGAGAAAGCCCTAAAACCCTAAAATGATTAATTTTTTTTGTTTACTTTCGTAGATTTTGGATAAGTTTTGTGAAAAATTAATCATAGAAGAAGAAAGATAAGTGAAATGAGAACATTTTGATATCGATCTTATTGCGAAATGCGATCAATGACGGATAATGATTCACTGTCAACAACAATCGAAAAAATGCAGTGCCAAAAAATAAATTATTTGAAAGTTTAGTGAAAAATCAATACATCTGTAAAGTTTAATGCTTAAAACGATACTGTTTTAGGCATCAATAACCACACCAAAACGATTTTATTTTGTCCAAGTCACCACATTGTTTGGATTTTAATGATGTAATGATATAATTAAAGTTGAAATCAAAGTGCGAACGAGTGTTGGTACATGTAGTTGAGATTTAAGAATTTGAGCTTGTAAGGCAAAATTCAAATCATACCACCGTCACTTTTTGGTGGACTATCTATAAATTCCTATGTAAGTCCCAATTGAGTCTTAAGTATGCCCTGATCCTGAACTGGAGAGCCACTCTTGACCTAAATTTTTATGTACAAAAAAAAGAGTTAAAACCAAAATTGTATGTTATAATTAGAGTAATTAAAAGTTTATTGATATAAACGACAATTCCTAAAATTTAGTGTCTGACGTGATTTATCCTTCCTTAAAAATTTCCTATTTCTTTTTCTATTTGTCTCTTTACAATTTATTCATTCAAAATCAAATGATAAAAGAAGGGTTCTTATTTGACTTTTTTATGCAAATATCATTAACACAAAATTTAATATCAGAAATAATATATATTTTAAATTATTTTTAAAATTAATATTTTTTATCACGTAGGGTAAAAATTCGTTACGTGAAAAACGACAATATGGTCACATATTGGGCTAAAACGAACGAAAAGGGAAAAAAGGGCCAAAATATATGAAAATTTTATATGAATTTTGTTTAAAAAGAATAAAAATAATGATGCGGATTGAAAACAAGTAATTACACAAGTTAGACAACAACCTTAATGCGTGTATATGAATATTATCGTCAATCACTTAATAAATGTATGTTTAAAAGATTATATTTAAACACTTGAAAAATGATATATCTAAACAATGTGGGATTTGAGAAGCTAGTGGCAAAATTTCGTATTGTTTAGATATATAGTTTTCTAGTGTTTAAATATAATCTTTTGAACTTGCATTTGTTGAGTAATTAACAATAAGATTAATACATGCACGCTACAGTCAAGCCCAACTAGACTCATGCTAGTGCAAATCTTAAAAATTAATTTTATCTTTCCTTATTGAAGTTTTATTATACACGAACTTAAGTTTTAAAATTTATATTGATTTAGGTATCAAGTGGCAATCTATACTTGAACTTATTTTCTGTCATACACTTTAATTTAAAAACTTAACTTCTATCATTTTGATACATTTAGCTCATGATATAAAGCCAAGTTCAAATACTAACAGTGAATTTAAGATTAAATATCAATTTATGTGATCGAAATCAATTTCCTAAAAGTTTAAGTATCAATTAATCAAAACAAATACCAAATAGTATATTAACCATCTTATACAATGATAGTACAACTTCATGTATTATGGGAGCACTCCACGATAACACTAAAGTTATTAATTTCAAATACAATATAAAAATACCATGCTTTTAAAATTTCGAAAGTTATTTATCATTATATAATGAGATTAATCTAAATATTTCATAATTATATTTATTTTATTAATAAAATAAGAAAACCAATATATATAGTTATTAAAAGACAAGAAATAAAGGGAAAACAGTGAATCAAGTTAAAAATAGAGCAAAAATGGAATTATATAATTTCCTCCACCACCGCCCCTTGTACGCGGTTTGAAGCAAAAGCAAAAGCAGCAGCGGGTTTTTGTAACATAATTCTTATATTATTATTAAGCCCTTCTCTAATTTATCTATATTACGTTTTAGTGACTCAACCTTTTCTTTTTATTATTTTTTAATTGGGTCGGTAATGAAAACTCATTTATTCACTACAAATTTGCTCAATAATTTATCCAATCATTCCGTTTAGTCACCTTTTTTAATGGGATCCATCCTTTAATGTCATATAGCAACAAAGCTTTATCATGAAACCATAAAACATTTGCCCCAAATTCATTTTCAATCCCTAAAGGTTTAGGTTGTTTCCATGTTTGAAACCGATATTTATTTTTGTTTTGTCCCTCTCATTGAACAAATAAATTAAATTTTAGATTGATTATTTTAAGTTTAAAATTTTTAGTATTATTTATTTTGTTTTATTTTTTATTTAATTAGGTAAATTTATATTTAATATAATTGTAATTTTAATTAAAAGTTTATAGTTATGTTTCAAACAATAGTTATGGAACAAATAGAAAGATGTATTCCTATGAAGTTTCCGATTCATTCCCATAGTATTATTCTTTTCATGACTTTTACATTAATACCATATATTCTTTTATTAAAAATTATGATTCTAACGAATAAATCAAGATGGAACAATATCAAACAACATCGCACACAATATACATGGAACAAACCACAAAGAGATTTACTTAATTACTTTGTCAAAGATCTTAGAACTTGCCGGAAAGTCCAAAGGGAATATAAGCAAAACCGACTTCCGACGGTCCCGTTAAATACATCAACTTTCATGATATATCTGATTTACTAGTCGATTAATCTAAAAACTTATTAATTAAAATATTTAAATTTCTTTCTCGTTAGATCAATAAGTAATTGATGCCATACACATATTATTAGAGAGGAGTTGTTTTCATTAAGCAAAACCCAACCAAAGTAGCTTCATTATGCAGGCATGCTTTAAAATTGCATGCACGAGTCACATTTGTCCACAATAAATATATGGGTGTTTTGTGATGCTTTGAATTCCCAGAAATGGTCAAAAAAAGGATGCGAAGATGGAGGTTTTTGAGAGGGATTTGGAGGCTTCGTTGTCAAAAGGGGAGAGTTAGGCAAAACCAAAGTTGGATTTATTGAGGAGAGAGATGATCAATGTTTGGCCCTAGGTAGACGAAGAATGTCAAAAAAGAGATAATTAGGCAAATCAAAGTTCCAACTTTTAATACTAAAAGAGAGATGGATGCTGAAGGAAAAACAATTTTGATGGATTCGGGGCCACGAATTCTAAACCAAACACACTAACTCGGAATAATTAACTTTCTCATCTTAATTACAAACTTTTTCTTTCTAGTAATGCTGGTTAACCTCAAGATCGTTTTCCCTTTCTAATTTCTAGATACTTTGTTATCGCGTCTCTGTTGTATTATTCGGATTAAAATAAGCATATTTGTATAAAATTCACTTCTAATTATGTGGTATAAGATTAATAGGTTATTGTTATACCTGCGGAGATTGTTTTTGGAAATTATTGTTAGTTCTTCATCAGTTAAAATTTTCAGATAAACTCTTTCTCTTATCAAAATTTTTAATGAATCTTTATCCTTCAAATAAAGGAGTATCATAGCCTCCGAGCTAACTGCAATGCATTAATAAGACCCATGACAGACCCATGTGATTTATAGGAGCAAAATTCTAGACTAAATTATCTA